ACTTCTTCACCTTTACAATGGGAGTGAAAGCAGTACCACTCCTGGAGGTTGTTGGAGATCCATGAACTGATACAATGAAAGTGCATGTTACAGTGTTTGGGTTCTGATGTGTATCCAATCAATTACTTATTACAAGGAAGTAAAACCAATATAAAGTATAATTAGATGTAGTCATAAGGACCAACCAAAACCAATGCAGAAACCTGCAGACCAAAGGTTTTTATGCCTTTGACCAACAAACATGATTCTGAGCTTCCTTGTGGCCACATCAAAAAGGGAAATGTGATCAGTTATAGAACATGGATGATCAAGAACAAGAAAGCAACCCAGTTCCTCAAGAGGAGCAACATTGTTCCTTACCCTGAATCCTCCAGAGTATTTCTCACTGAACAGAGAGCTTCATAAAGGATACTCCAAGGGAGGCAGTGGGCAGCATCATTGACTAGGAATTACACAGCATTGCGGGTGTGAGTTTCATGTGGTAACTCACTGTAGAGGCCTTGAGGCGGGAGATGAAGGGAAGTCTGTGAAGGTGGCTTAGGGAAGGTAGCTCTGTGGCAGGACCAGGAATGTGACAAAGGTCTGGGCTATCACGACTGAAGATTGAGGATTACAGAGCTCAGAGTGGTTGGGATCCAGAGCTGATAATCCCTCAGGGAAACAGGAGGAGCCCAAGAGCCTTTTCACTTGAGATCCTTCGAAGTTAGATTCTGGAGTCAGAGCTCCCTGCTGTGTGGCCTCAGGCAAGTGTATTGACCTCTCTGAACCTCAGTTTTCTCATCTGCAAATAGGATTTATTATTATTATTATTTGAGATGAAGTTTCACTCTTGTTGCCCAGGCAGAAGTGCAATGGTGCGATCTTAGCTCACTGCAGCCTCCGCCTGCTGGGTTCAAGCCATTCTTCTGCCTCAACCTCCCGAGTAGCTGGGATTACAGGTGCTCGCCACCACACCTGGATAATTTTGTATTTTTAGTAGAGATGGAGTTTCTCCATGTTGGTCAGGCTGGTCTCAAACTCCCTACCTCAGGTGATCTGCTCGCCTCAGCCTCCCAAAGTGCTGGGATTACAGGGATGAGCTACCACTCCCAGCCAGGAATTATTTTTACAAGGCTATTATGGAGTTTTGCAAAGCACATAAAGAGAGAGCTCAAACAAATGTTAACTATGTGTATGCACATATTATGTACAGTGGACCCTTGAACAAGTCAGGGGTTAGGGAAGCCAGCTCCCTCTACAGCCAAAAATCCACATATAACTTTTGACCCCTCAAAACTTAACTACTAATAGCCTCCAGTTGACCAGAGCCTTGTTAATAACACACATAGCGGATTGACACATATTTTTTATGTGTATTATATACTGTACTCATACAGTCAAGTAAGTTAGTGAAAAAGAAAATGTTATTAAGAAAACCATAGGAAGAGAGAATATATTTGCTACTTATTAAGTGGAAGTGGGTCACTATGAAGGTCTTCACCCTCACTGTCATCACGTTAAGTAGGCTGAGGAACAGGAAGAGGAGGGATTGGTTTTGCTGTCTCAAGTGTGGCTGAAGCAGAAGAAAATTCCCAGCTAAGTGGACCCACGCAGTTCAAACCTACGTTATTCCAGGGTCAGCTGTATACATAGTGACACATACTTTTTTCATAAGCTTCCTGGTTGTGGGGGATTGAAGGAATTTGGGTAACTAGAATTTTACAGCTCTTTACAATTCACAATTGGCAAAGGCTTCATTGTCGTTTCACATGATTCTCCCAGTAATATGAGGGCAGTGTTTTTACCTCTACTTGAGAGATGAGGACATTGGAGCTTAGAGAAGCAAAATCCTTACCTGTGTGTGTGTCTCTCTCTCTCTTTTTTGGAGACAGAGTCTCACTCTGTCACCCAGGCTGGAATGCAATGGCACGATCTTGGCTACCTGTAACCTCTGCTCCTGGGTTCAAGCAATTGTCCTGCCTTAGCCTCCTGAGTAGGTGAGATTACAGGTGCCTGCCACTACACCTGGCTAATTTTTGTATTTTTAGTAGAGATGGAGTTTCACCGTGTTGCCCAGGCTGGTCTCGAATTCCTGGCCTCAAGTGATCCACCTGCCTCAGCCTCCCATAGTGCTGGGATTACAGGCATGAGCCACCGCGCCTGGCCTGTGTCCCTCTCTGACCTGCCCTTGATCCCCCAACTGGAGAGACAAGTGGGCAGGAACGCATTGGTCCTCTGGCCTTCCTAGGTTCCTCCCACCTTCCCAGGCAAAGACCATTTTAGAAGGGAGTTAAGAGTGGAAACCTGAGAAATAATAACGACAATAGCAACAATTCAGTGCTTACCCCATAAGGGTACCTGTTCCAAGCACTTAATCCTCACGACCCTCTTCTTATGAAGGAGGAGCTGTTATTATCAAGCCCATTTTACAGATAAGACAATTGAGTTGCAGAGAAGGTCACTGACCTGCCCAAGGTCACAGAGGAGTTCTCGCAGACCCAGGATGTGGATGCAGGCAGTCTGGCTGGGCCCCAGAGTCTGCTGTTCTGCTTGGTTTGGGAGCAGAAATGTGCTCAGGACAGGAGGCATGTGAGTTAGGACAGAGCAGAGGCTCAAAACAAACCTGTGACTTGTGCCTCCCTTACACTTCCAGGGAGAGCTAGGGGACTTGGCCAGGGTGGGGCGGGGGTGGGGGAAGAGGTGCACCAACAGGGGACACAAATCCACTCGATTCCTAGAAGGATGAGGAATCAGGTGTGGATGGACAGACCAGAGGATGTCAGTGCCATTCTGTGCCAGCCCAGCCTGGCCCCATCTGTAAGATGAAAAAACATGGCCTCTGACCCGAAGCTGCTCCCAGCCCAGCCAGAGAGCCCAGCCTGATGTAATCTGCTGCGGGCTGCATCTCTGCAGATGCTGTGCAGAGCGCTCCGTCCTGAGTCCCAGATCCTCCTCGACCTCCTCTCGGGACTCACACACCAAGCCCACTGTCAATGAGGGAGGGGAAGGTCAGAGACGGGGAGATGCCTGGTATGCCCTTCCTCCTTTCTCTGCCTTCCACCTTCTTAACTCATACTTGTCCTTAAAACTCAGCTTAGATGCCACTGGCTCCAGGAAGCTTCAGACCCCCAGGCTGGGTAACAGCCCCTCCTCTGGGCTTCTAGGGGCATTCTAGTCTTGCCCCAGACTCAACATTGTCTCTTTGTCTTGTACCTGTGAGCTCCTTTTGGGAAGGGACCCTAGGAGAGCCATGTCCCCATCCCTGATGCCTGCACAGTCTGGCACAGGGAATGTCAACTTGGTCATTTCTTCCAAAAGGAAGGTTGGTAGTGGTCATCAATCTGGGCAGATCATGGTCTCAGGGGCAATGCGGACTGGTGGTTAAAAGACCAGGCTCTGCAGATGTGGTTCGAATCCCAGCTCTTCCAGCCTCTGCCTGCATGCTTGGGTCCTGATCTCTCTGAGCCCAGCTACAGCCCCTCATGGGGTTAAAGTGAGACCATCTGGACTGAGGGCTCAGCATGGCCCCTGGTATAAAGAACTCAGTGTGCATTCCCCACTACTGCCACGCACACCAGTCAGATTTCCTCCAGTCATGGGAAGCCAGCTCCAGTGTCCCAATCTTCTCTCTGCATTCCAGTGCCACAGGAAACCCTTGGGGACCCCTTGGTGGGCACTTCTGAAATATTCTCTCAGTGTACAGAGTGGAGTGACACCCAAGCTTTGATTCTGAGCCCTTTGAGTGCAGAGCCCTCAATGGAATTTTCCAAGTGGCTTTTATTTAATAAAAGCAAAAGATGACTTTTATGTAATAAAATATAACTTTAAGCCCATAGGATCGGTAATGAATGTATGTGCAGGAAGGTTGGAGTTATTTATAATGAAGCATTGATTGGCAGTCTCGCCAAGTGGAAACATCTGGTTTGAAGCCCATTTGACAAGATGGGGAGATCTTGAACAGCATAAAAAAGTGCATAGACTCTGGAGTGTCAGAGCCCTGGCTTTAAATCCTGCTCATCAGCTGTGCACCTCTAGGTAATAATGCAATCATTAGTATTTATTGAGGGCTTACTATGTGCCAATACCAAGCTAAATGCTCCACATTCCTGATGCCTCTAGTTTTTATATCTACTCTATGAAGTGAGTATTCCCATTTTATTGATGAGAAAACTGAGATTCAGAGAAAAGAAATCACATGCCCAAAGCCATGCAGCTCATAAGGGCCAGTGTTGGGTATGAACCCTGCATGTGATCACTGCCTCCAAGACCTTGCAAACTTGCAAACTCGCAAACTCCTCAGAATATGTTTGTTCTTCCATAGATTGGAAAAATACGCAACAAGATTGTTATGGGGCTTGTTCGAAGTGCCACTTAAGTTGTCCACACAGCAGCGGCTCAGTGGATATATTTGTGTCTGTCTTCACACCAGACTCCTGTGGCCTCAGAGCCTACGTCTCATTCATGGTTCCCACAGGGCCCAGAGAATGTCCAGCGAGAATGATGCCGTCTTCTCTGAGCCTCAGTCTCCCTATTTCTTAACACTAAAGTAATAAAACCTGCCTGGAAAAGTCTCCAGGAAGACTAAATAACAAGAAGGAATTAAAGTTCTTGGCACATAGCAGGTTCTCCGGGCAGGTCTTCTGTTTTCTCTGTGCCCACACTACCTGAAACAGTGTTTTTTGGGTCCTGACCTGGTAGTGGATTGAGCCATCCATGCTCCTCCTTTGTGTCTTCCTTCACTCATGCCCAACTCCAGCTGTCAGCTAAGGATGTGCTGGGGGAGACGAGTGGTTAGAATGAAGCCCTTGACGTGGGTAGAGTCAGTTGATCTAGGTTCTAGGGGCTCCATCCCTTCCTGGCTGCAAAACCTTGGCTGAGTATCAGCCTTTCTGAACTTCTGCTTCCTTCTCTGTACAATGGGAATAAGAACAACAGATCTTATTTCTGGCTGGATCCTCTCAACCTTCTGGTTCTTAGCCCTGAATGCAATTGCTGCTTTTTTTTTTTTTTCTTACCTGTAGGTGTTTCTAGCTGTGCACAGGGACTGATTGGCTGAGGACTCACATTGGAGAGCTCCAGACAACATAACAGTGAACGGTGAGGAAACCCTTGTAGTCTGAACTCCAAAGGGGACCAGTGACCACTGACAGGTGGGTACACAGGGGGATTACAGCAAGGCTGGCTGCTCGGTTTTAGAAGCGTGGTTGGAACCAAGTTCACAGCATCATGTACCTCTTCTTTATTGCACTTAGCATTATTGCAATGTTCCCATTATTTGAGGGACTTTTTGATGAACAGTTGTCTCCCCCACTAGACTGTAGAGAAAGGGAGGGCCCCAAAGAGGCAGAAAACGTGATTGTCAAAAGGATAGACTCTGAAGCTTGGATTCGAATCACAGGTCTGCCTTTTCCTAGCTGTAGGACTTCAGGCAAGTGACATAGAATCTCCATGCCTCAGTTTCCTATTTGTAAGATGAGGCTCATAACCTATCTACCTCACTGAATTGTTGGGGAGATTAAGATAGTATAGAATGCAGTGCCTGGCATGTAGGAGGTACCGGAAAGGCATTTGTTCAATAAATAAAACAGCAAAGAAGGAAGTGGTTAAATCACAAAACTGGACTTGCTGAGAGCCCTGGAGGACATTGTTGGTCTTTCTGGTATTGGTCAACCTCTAAAGCCAGCTCTAGGTTCCCCTAATGGTCCCTGTCTTCTCTTGCAGAGAATGGAGTATGAAGATTATAACACCTCCTTCAGTTACGATGATGAATATCCTGATTATTTAGACACAATTTTTTTTTTGGAGGAGTCAGCCCCCTTGGGAGCCACGGTGACCAGGATCGCCATGGTGGTGGTCTACATCATCGTCTGCTTCCTCGGGATCCTGGGCAATGGTCTGGTGATCATCATTGCCACCTTCAAGATGAAGAAGACGGTGAACACGGTCTGGTTCCTCAACCTGGCGGTGGCAGATTTCCTGTTCAACATCTTCCTCCCGATCTATATCACCTATGTCGCCATGGACTACCACTGGGTCTTTGGGACGGCCATGTGCAAGATCAGCAACTTCCTTCTCATCCACAACATGTTCACCAGCGTCTTCCTGCTGACCATCATCAGTTTCGACCGCTGCGTCTCTGTGCTCCTCCCTGTGTGGTCTCAGAACAACCGCAGTGTTCGCCTGGCTTACGTGGCCTGCATGGTCATCTGGGTCCTGGCTTTCTTCTTGAGTTCCCCATCTCTTGTCTTCCGAGACACAGCCGACAATCATGGGAAAATAGCCTGCTTCAACAACTTCAGCATGTCCGCAGCTGGGTCTTCCTTGTGGCCTGCTCAACCCCAGGTGAACCCTGTGGGGTACAACTGGCACATGGTGGTGACCATCACCCGCTTCCTCTTCGGCTTCCTGGTCCCAGTCCTCATCATCACAGTTTGCTACCTCACCATTGTCTGCAAGCTGCGGCGCAACCGCCTGGCCAAGACCAAGAAGCCCTTCAAGATCATTGTGACCATCATCATTACCTTCTTCTTCTGCTGGTGCCCCTACCACACACTCAACCTCCTGGAGCTCCACCACATTTCCATCCCTACCTCCGTCTTCACCCTGGGTTTTCCTCTGGCCACTGCCTTCGCCATTGCCAACAGCTGTATAAACCCCATTTTGTATGTTTTCATGGGTCAGGACTTCAAGAAGTTCAAGGTGGCCCTCTTTTCCCGCCTGGACAATGCTCTAAGTGAAGACACAGCCCACTCTTCCTACCTCAGCCATAGAAGCTTTACCAAGATGCCATCAATGAATGAGAGGACTTCAGTGAATGAGAGGGAGACCAGCATGCTATGAGCCTCACTGGGGAGCCCCTCAATGGACCCTCTCAACCCAGGGGCACTCAAGGATATGTCTTCTGAAGATCAAGGCAAGAACCTATTTAGCATCCGCCAATTTCCACTGCATTTTTCATGGGGATGAACAGTGTTTTACACTGGGAATCCACGCCTGGAACCCTTTTCTCCAAGTGGACAGAATGCTCTGTGTTCCACACGGCCAAGGCTAGTCTCCCATTTATGCTTCTTGGGAGACTAGCCTTGACTGACTCAAAGTAAACAAGGAAGAATTCTCAAAAGCACTGCCATTAACTGGGATTGGCATGAGGCGGTGGGATTAAGCTGCCTACTGTGTGTGCCCCAGAATGACACAGACACTCTCCACGGTCCCTTCCTGCTGTGAGCAGTGGGAGGTCAGAGAAAACCTAGTGTGATACAGAGCACACCTGGCCCTTTTCTACCTATTATGAGTGGCCTATTATCATTGGCCAGAAAACCCGACCTTTAAGTCACTCCTCTGCATTAAAGCATGTGGAAACGCATAGGTGATCTGGGAGAGGAAGGTGCCATATCAGCCCATGAACTCCATAGACCATGAATTTGGCTTTTGGATCCGCTAGGAAGACAGAGAACAGGTTCTGAGAGGTCATGTGGGCTCTTCGCAAGGGAAGGCAAGTGAGGGATGCAACGAGGACTTGAGATTTGGCAAAGGAATGAGAAAGAAGGAAAGAACCTTCAGAAGATGCAAGCGTGAAGCAGCTCACCCTAAACGTCACAGGCTGATGGAGCTTCAGGCTGGAGCTATCGCAGAGTGAGGGTGGTGCCAGGCTCTGCGCCCACCTTGCCCTTCTTACCTGGGCATGGGGTTGTGGCAGGCGTCTTCACCAGTAGCCCTCACCTCATCACAGGGATTCTTTCTGCCTTTCCTAATCCACTCAGCTCTGGCTGGAGGGGCTTAGAATAAAACACTGGTGGTGGGGCTTCTCCTTCTTGTCAATTTTCTCAGTGCCTTTGGAGATGGGTCCAAAATACAGCTTTGGGAAGCAACTCTGGAGAGCCCACTTAGAAGAAGAGTATGTCCGAGGGTTCAGTCACTTGAAACAGAGTCTGAAACCGGACTCCTTGAACTGTGGTCCTGAGCTGCAGACACCAAATACCTCCTGGATACAGGTGCCTGGTATAGCTTTTCTCATCTAATACTGACACGTCCCTGTGACGCAGAGCGTCATTGCCCCATTTACAAATGACATAGCTGAGGCCCAGAGGGGCAAAGTAACTTGTCCAACGTCACACAGCTAATCAGTGGCAGAGTTAAGGTCTGAACCTGGCTCTGACTGGCTCCAGAAACTCCTTTCCTCTATTTGGCATTTCTCTGTGGAGATTATTCTAGTATATTGATAGCCTACATTTATTTAGCACTTTTTGTATTACGCACTTTACATATGTTTTCTCATTTAATCATTACAGCAACTCTGAGTTAGGTACTGTTATAGCTTCCCTTTTACGTAGGAGGAATCTGAGGCTCAGAGAAGTTAAGTAACTTGCCCAAAGATACCCTGCTAGTCTCTGCCAGAACTTGGATTTGAACCTCAGTCTGCCTGGCTTAAATGAGGCTGCAGAGTCAGGAAGGACCTAAAGAGGCTGGAGATTTTTACCATAAATATTGATTCTTCCGCAAAAGAATGTGAACATCTTAATGGCCTTTAAGAAGCTTTGCAAATAGTTTTCAAAAATGATGCAACATGGCAGAGAAAATGCACTTGGCTTCCAGCTTGCTCCACAGCCATTAACAGCCCCCTTCCATGGCTCCCACCTCCTGCGTCTCCTGAGATCAAGGCAATGGGGAGGGAGGGCTGGCAGGAGGCGGTCCTTTGTGGGCCCAAGTCCCTTTGGCTCCTAAGTGTCCGCGTTCTGTTCTCTTCCAAGTCCCTTCATCCTTAAGCTGATTCTCCAACAAGATGCAACGAACAGATGCAATGTCTACCCCGTGCTGGGTGAGTTCCCGAGGCCACGGGCTGTTTGGAATCACACTTCATTAAGAGACAAACTGTTCCTTCCCTTGTTGTGCCTTAATGCTTATGACAAGGCAGCTCTGAATTGACCCCAAGCTGGAGCCTCTGAATGCTGTAAAGAGTTTGAACATAGACAGTTTGAGAGCAAAAAGGGAGCTTTAAATATTGCTCAGTGGCCCCCATCATCCTTCTTCCCATGTTTACTGAGGCACGAGATGGCATGGGATCTGTCCCAGGTCACAGCAGCAGACATCAGCGACTTGGACCTCCTGGCTCCTAGGATGCTGCTTTTCCTGGGCTTCTGGGAGTCCAGGCCAGACTAGGGGAGCCAGGAATTCATGTTGTCATCAGAAAAGCTGATCAACAGGAGCACAATTCAAACCCGCTGTTTTCTTCTTTAGAGTCTGGCCTCCCTCTTTTTGGATGCTCTGCCGGCCTTCCTGTTCTAACTTAGGTTCCTGTCAAGTACTTAAATGCAGCCAGAAGGTCCCATACAGTCTTGTCCCCACAGCTTCATGTGACCCTCTCCATGGGTCATGCATACATCATCCCTGCAGTGTGCAAAGTGTGCTCACCTGCATTGCTGCCCAGGCAACCAACACACTTAGTTCCCAGAGCCTTCTCTCTAGACCCAGGACTCAGCAACGGGAACATATTTAACCCTGCCTCCTGGGTGGGGTGGGCGGGTTGAGGGATCATGAGGACCAGAAGTAGAGGGACAAGAAGAGAAGGTGGTGTTTGAAGATGGAGGAGGGGCAGGAGAGGGGACAGAAAGGTCCCGGAGCATGATGATGAAGGAAAAGTATCTGACATTCATGAAGCACCTATGATGGTTCAGACACAAACATCAAAAGCCTCAGATTGGCCCAGGCAAAAGAGGATCATCATAGCAAGGTGGCGTGGGGGCACAGAAAGTTAGTGTTCCAGAACAGAATTCACTAGCTCAGAGTTGCTCAGCTAATGAGGTATGGAGCTGGGCTTTGAATCAGGTCAGCTGCCTGAATGCCCAATTTCTTCGGCCCTTGGAAGGAGAGGGTCAGGGGAGGAAGAAGGAAGAGAGAAGAGGAGAGAAATGAAGTCAAAAGAGAAAGAGGAATTAGATTTCAGAATCATCTCCAGCTGACTCTTGAGCCAGCAAGGACAGGGAGCAGGGAAGAGCAAGAACATGAAGGGCCTCAGGCACTGGGATGCCTTTGCCAGCCTTAGATAATTTCCAGGGTACATAGGGCCCTGCAAGTTCTCAGGCTCCCTGTCCAGAGAAGAGGCACAGAGATTCTGGCAGCAAGGTTTAGAAGGGGTGAGGAAACTGGGCACTGACCAAGGGAGGGGATTGGCTCAAATTCGACCCCAGAGTTAGCTCTAGTGGGATTGGGAGCCTGGGTGAGTGAGAGAAGACAGAATCCAATCATGAGAACAGCAAGGGACCTTCAAACTCATCTTGTCCAGATGTCTCCCATTTCGCAGATGAGGGCACTGAGGTTTCGAGAGCTTCTCTTTGAGGACTCTGGAAAATGAGGTGATGTTTGGTTTGGATGGAAATGGTCATCGGTGATTCCTCAACTCCTGCCCTGCATCCCTCTCTCGTTCCTCCCTGACATGTTATGCTCTTGTTGGGGCTGGGACGCCCAAGGACCATGGTTATCAAATCCTGGGTTTGGAAAATTGCTGCTGGGGGTGCTATCTAGGACCAGAGAGGAATATACTATTTCTACTGTGAACTAATTCAGCAGGGGGTCTGCTTAATTCCTCCCTTTGAGAACAAAGTTTCTCTCGAATAAAGAGACTGAAGCAAGAGCGTGTGGCGCAGTTCTGGAGGTTCCTGCCATCACCTGCCCATTGCCTTCCCCACTGACTTCATGCAGTAGCAGCTGAGGCTCAGTGAGGTGACATGGCCAGTGCAAAGTCACAGAGCTATGCTGTGGACAGCAGGAGAAGCCCCGAAGTCCCCAACCTGCCATTCTTAAACCGTTGAGCTCCAAGAAATTTGCATTTTGAAAAAAATTCTTTTTGCTTATTTTACTTTTCTAGCAATTGAGTTACTCGCTAAGATAATAAAGCAAACCACAGCAGATAAGGGACACAAAGCCATGCCTCCATATGGCCAGGTCTACACTCTTTGGCACTGCATCAGGCGGCCCAAGGACAGATGCTTCTGTGACACGTTCATCCATTCATCTTTTCACCCGCCCATTCACCCTATCATCCACCCACCTATTCACCCCAAGGTCTACCCATCCATCCACCCACCTATTCACCCCAACATCCACTCAAACATTAACTCACCCCAAGATCCACCCACCATCCACCCATCCATTCACCCTAACATCCACCCACTCATTCACCCTAATATCCACTCATACATCCACCATCCAATCACCCTAATATCCACCCACCTGTTCACCCACTCATTCACCCCAAGATCCACCTACCTATCCACCCACTCGTTATCCTAAGATCAACTCACCCATCCACCCCAAATCTACTCATCCACTCACCCAGCCATTCATCTCAACATTCACCTAACCATCCATCCACTCACCCATTCTTTTACATAACCACCCATTCATCCATTCATCCACTCATCCATATCTATCCACCCATTCATCCATTCCATTAAAATATGTTTAACACCTGCTCTTTGCCTAATTCTGTGATAGGCACCAGACACAGAGAGATGGTCAAGACATACACAGTCTCTGTCCTCCTGAGCTCGTTCATTGGCTTATGGGAGAGACAGCCAATAATCAAAATTATACACTTCACCCAATGGAAAACAACCCCAGTAAATGTTACACACACACACACACACACACACACACACACACACACACACACAAGGGAGGGGCGGGGGAGTCTCACTCTGTTGCCCAGGCTGGAGGTGCTATGGCACAGTCACAGCTCACTTTAGCCTTGAGCTCCCCAGGCTCAGGTGATCCTCCTATCTCAGCCTCTGGAGTAGCTGGAACCTAATATATTTTTTTAACAGAGACAGGGTTTCTCCATGTTGCCCAGGCTGGTCTTGAACTCCTGGGATTAAGTGATCCTCCTGCCTCAGACGCCCAAAGTGCTGGGATTACAGGCTTCAGCCATCGTGCCAGGCCTACACACACATTATAGAGGGATCCAATCCTGGACGAAGACCTTGGGGAGGAGACACTTGCTCTGACACCTGGAAGGTGGGTGGGCACAGATGTAGTAGGGAGGTGCAGGAGGGGGGTGGTCCAGGTGGAGGTGATGGCAGGGGCAGTGGCATTGATGCAGGAGGGAGCGATGCTCACTGTGACAGGAAGGAGGTGGGGGCTGCAAGGAGGCTGTAGGATGAGCAAGACCAGATGGGGTGGAGGGGAAGGACTGGGCAGTGGGGGAGACCTTTACGCTGAGACAGGGCAGCCACATGCAGAAGAGTGCCATGCTCAGATCTGCACGCTGGAACAATGCCCCTAGCTGCTCTGGGGAGGACAGGTTGGAGAGGGGCAGGAGGGGAAGCCTGGAGGCTGCTGTAGCCTCAGATGAGCCATGGTGGAATCCGGACTGGGGAAACAGGGGCAATGCTGGAGAGAAATGGACTACTGGAAAGATATTTAAAAGCTATGCAAGCTTTCTCAGGGGAGTGGTTAGTGGGAAACCAACCCAGGGCCCATTTCTGCTGCACAGAGGCCTCGGTGCATTGCTTTATTGTCAGAAATTAATTGTAAATATTATTCAAATGTACCTCCCAATGCACAATTATATTTCTCAGGGGAGCCCTCTGTACACATAATAAAGCCCTATAAATAATACATATATTAACCTAAGAGGAACAGAGGCATATTAACGCTGCAATTTCAGGTTGTGCTGTGGGGACTTTATACAGATGCGATGTCAAACACTTGGACTTGAGGTTTAAACTTGGAGGTCACCTGAGTTCTATCCTGGGGAATATTCCAGAAGTCTCTCCCCCTGGGATATGTGGATACCCCCAGACAAGTCAGGCAGCTACTGCTCTAGATATCAAGTCAATAGACAGGTGGAGGCAAGATGAGAATTGGTAAGGGAGGGAGAAGCACAGGTTTATACACTCCTTGTGCTCAAAGATGCAGAAACAGCAACAGCAGTAATAATAGCAAATGTTGATTGAGGCTTGTCTAAGTTTTGGGCAAGCTCTTCAGTTTCATCAACTCATTGAATCCTTGGAACAAAGATTCAATGGAAGGGGCGATTGCTATCTCCATACACAAGTGAAGAGACTGAGGTTCAGAGAGGTGAAGTGACTTTGCCCGATGCCACACAGCTGGTAAGCAACAGAGCTGGGATTCAAACCTCAGTATGTTTATCTCGAAAGCTCTTGGTGTTTTCCCCAGAAATGTGCAAATGTAAAGTGTCTTCTGAAGAGACTCTTCCCTGGAGAGAGGAGGACAAGCACATATTCTCTCCCCAGTGTCAAATTTTGAGGAGGTGGGAGTTGGGGAGCCTGAGGAATTGCTTTTTCCTTGAGAGGAGGAAATTGCATTTGAATGGGCTTGTCACTTTCTCACAACCCTGGGAAACTTAGGGTTTTTGAGTTTGAAAAAGACTCTACTTCCCCAAGTTTGTCCCTCCCCATTCCCCCATGTCACAGATGGTGAAACTGAGACCTCTTTGCCAATAAGATGGAGACCACCTGCCTCACTGATTGCTGTGAGATGAAAGGTGTGTGAAAATGCTAACCTGAGTCACTCTTAAAACACCATCACCCAAGAGACCTGGCCATTCACCAGCCACCCTGCTTCACTTCTTAGTTTATTGACAAGGACTGTGGGGCTGATCTGCTGTAAAGTCTTTCTGCCTAGGGTCTGGGCTCCACTGAGGAGTTTCCAGCAGAATCCTGGCTGAAGGGGAAGTGGGAGATCTTGGCAAAAACTGCTGTAGGGCAGATGTGCTTTGTTTGAGACATAAATGTTATGCTTAAAGATTATCTTGAATATGAGTGAGGGATGCTCCCCACCTTGGCCTACGTAGTGGTTACATGGGATAAGGGGTGGGGAGGTGGGGTTCATCTATAAAAACCCATTTATCTGTACTTTGAAGATGAATGCTTCACTGTAGTAGGTTATGCCTCAGCAAAAGCCTTTCTAAAAATAAAATAATTCATAATGTCTGCAGAAATGAGTTCCCATCGCCACTGGTACCCAAGACAGGTAGTGGCAGGACAGAACCAGGTCTAAGGGTTTGTCCCTGATTCAAGGGAGCTCTTTAGAGGGCAGTGGCTCCTACAGCCTCCATCCAAGGACACAGAGTCTCAGAAAGGCCTAAGCCCTCCTGGGGCTTCCCCAGCCTCACCACCTGACTCAGAGGGCTGTTGATGGTTAAGTTGGGGGTCAGGTAGGCTCAGGAGTCAGACTGCGAGGGCTTGAATCCAAGCTCTGCTATTTATGTCAGCTAAGGGCAGGGTTAGAGTTAGGCTCTGTGGCCTTGGGCAAGCTATTCAATGCCTCTGAAGCTCAGTTTTCTTATCTGCAAAATGGGCTTGATAAAGGTTTGCAGCTCTCAGGGTTGCTGTGAAGATTCAGTGAGATGCCGTACTTTAGTGTTTAGCATGTGCCAGGTTCTTTCATCTGAACACGCATCAGCCTCCTCGCTGGCCTCCCCACTTCCTTCCGTCTTTGCTCCCACAACCCGTGCTGTAGGAAGCAGCCAGAGTGAGCTTCTACCAAAGAACACAGTAATCCAGAGCCCTTCCAAAGGCATAAAAACCCATATTGGATTGGCTGCTGCCACCTTCTCTAAGTTCATCTCATGCTGCTTTCCAGCTAGGCGATCCTTTCTGCCTCTCACAAACAAAACAGACCAACAGCAACAAGACACCAAGATTGATCCTACCTCATGCCCTCGCACTTGCTGTTCCTGCTGTTCCTGGGCCCACTTGCCTCTGTCCTTTGCATGACTGGTTCATCCGCCTCCTTCTGGTCTCTGTCCAAATGCCATCTCTTCAGGCAGGCCATGCTAAGGTAGCCTCCATCCCTACCCACTGCCTGTCAGATCCCTTTTTTTGTATTAGTATTTTCTTTATATTAGTGACTGCCATCTGAAATCATGTTATCATTTGTGTATTTAGTGGCTTTAAGGCTGGCCCCTACTTGGATACAGCAAGAAGGCAGGGACTTTGGCCATCTTATTATGTCTCCAGCAGTGCTTAGCCCAGAAAAGCTGCTCACAACTTTTGGTTGAATGAATGAAGACATAACCATACGCTGACATTATTTTTGTCGTCATCATCACCATCATTGAGTTTCATGACAATCACTATTATAATACACCATTTCCAAAGTATTTTCACATTTTTTTCCTATCTCAATGAAACTTGAGAAGGATGGACTTTTTCCCCATTTCACCAACATGGAAAATGAGGTCCCAGGTCACTTAGTTCAGAAGTGGAAGAGCCACTGTTCTTTACTTGTATCATTGAGAGTAATCACAGGCTGGGTGCGGTGGCTCACGCCTGCAATCCCAGCACTTTAGGAGGCTGAGACGGGCAGATCCCTTGAGGCCAGGTGTTTGAGATTAATCTGGGCAACATGGAGAGACCCCGTCTCTATTAAAAATACAAAAAAAATAATTAGCCAGGCATGGTGGTGCATGCCTATAATCCCAGCTACTCGGGAGGCTGAGGCACAAGAATGACTTGAACTTAAGAGGTAGAGGTTGCAGTGAGCCAAGATCCCACCACTGCACTCTAGCATGGGCCACAGAGTAAGATTCTGTCTCAAATAAAAGAAGAAAACAGAGTAATCACAGACAAAGGAGGTTTCCGTTCAGTGCTTCCACCTCCTCCCTTG